CACCACCACCACCACCACCGCACCAGCATGAATTTCCGGGCCTCAAGCAGAATTGCATGAGTTGATCGTGGCCGACTAAGCCCTACCGCAAATGCCACAGCTTAAATACAGATGCTGGCATTGATCATCTGCCGAGCCACACGAAGGCAGGCAGCAAAGCCAGCCGGAAAAGTGTCCTGGCAGTTCCGCAGAATAGACGGCTGCTATCACGTGAGCAATGTATCTTGTATGTGCCACATACACGGAGCGCACCTCTGCTTCAACAGGAGCATTTCAAACAACTTCGCATGAGGCGCCAAGAGCTCCAGTAAAACACTTGCAAGCGCATGCCGAAGGAATGCCAGCAAGCAGACAGCTTAACCTGATCAGTATACTTGCGATCCCAGTCTTGATACCTGGTCCATATGCCGAGACTCCCATAATAGATGGGGCTGCTGGCCAGTATTCTGTCCACGCGAGCAACGGTTGGGTGAGATAGAACGCTGGCTTTTCCTGAATGAGCACTTACTCAAGACGCTGAGCGGCATGAGCTAGCAAATGCCTCTCCTAAAAACTGACGTGCTGAACTTGACAGCAGAATTGGAAAACCGGCCTGGTTTCAACTCGCAGGTCATTTTGTCCAGCTGCTTTTTACAAGGGCTGTCAGGTCTGCAGGCCGGGTCTGTATGCAGGGAAGGGGTAACTTCAATCTATTCAAGTGCTGCCCACGCAGATTAGACAAGGCGCGGGAAGCTGGAAGGATGCTCCGCGCCACGAGGAAGCAAAGGATGCTTCCAAGCCTCAATGGCTGCCGCACAGGATGTAAACTGTTGCTATGGCAGGGCAGGGCAGTTCTTTGTGATGCATGACGAACTTGGAAAATGCACAGTGGGTTATCTTAGATTCCACGTTTCAAGGACGCGCTTCGACCTGCGAATCAGTTTTGCACTTCACTCATCCGTCTGTGCATCGTCTATCCGATCTTTTGGTCATGGCGACTTCAGGATTCTCTACCTGTCATGTTTAAAACGCAGCGCACCGCAGGGAAATCCTGATTGGGCTTTCAGCAGAGCAGGAAAAAGCGACTGCCGTGTGCGCTGCAAGTTACAGTGCTTGATGCACACATGGCACGGCAAATCAGGGCAACTGCAACTTCACAAGCTGGCAGCGCTGTTTGCATATTAGACCCTGCTGTCCGATTTGCAGGCTTGGCGCGTCTTGGAAAACAGCAGCATGCCTCCCGCAAAAAGCTGAGCGGAATGAGATCGGTTCAGCAATTCCACATGCAGCAGGCTCACAGGCTCACACATGTAAGCTTGGCCTGCGAGAAATGACTCACCAATCTGCTGCACTGCTTTGGTCGGGCCAAGGTCGACAGCATTTCTCCCGACGTGGCAGTCCCTACGGGACATCATGCAGAAGCCAGGCGCGCCTAAAGCAGCTTGGAAGCCGTAAACCCAGGCAGCACCGAGGTCTACCAAGGAGAAGGGGATGCCGGAGACGGTGATCGCCTCGTGTGCTGGCGTGCTGCAGGGAAATCTGAACACGACCATCCAGGGTTCTAGGTACGTACTCCCTTGCAGCTGCCATGTCATGTTCAGGATTGAAGACTGATGTATGAGCATTGTGTGCGAGAAGGTTCCTGGACCGAACGACCAAGGCCCCGGCAGTAGAGAAAACCGCATGCAGTACCTTGGTAACTGCTAGAGGCAAGGACCCTGTCTAAGCTTTAAACTTTAACATCTCCACCCTGCATTCATGGAAAGCTACAGGCGTTCCAATCATGAAAGTGCACTTCTTTGCTGAGGCCGCTCTTGCGCAACGAGGCAGGTAATGATTGCCGGGAACTCAGGTAGACAGGTTAACTGGGAAGCGCTGGAGTTTCGGCCGCTGCAACCGATAGGCCACGCCCAGCAGCGGGCTTCTGCGCATGAAGTACCTTAGCTGCAGCCAAAAAAGCATGCTAAGGTAGAGGCTACCAAGAAGGATCTTGGGGGCGTCTATTGCAGGGAACGGCACAAACCTCACTTGTCCAAGTTCGCCAAAGTCCGAACATCATGGACTTAGGACGCCAGTTGCTTGGATGCAGTCGTTCCACAATTGCTGGAGCCTACTGTAGTGAGATACTTGGTGCACAGGACTGTAGAGTCAGCAGCATTGAGCACCAAAGTTGAAATCGGGCTGCGTAAGCTCGGTTGCCTTTGCCTTCAATGTTGGATTCGAGCTGATAGCCATGCCTTGCAGTGCAAGCTACCATTTATGACTGACAAACATAGCATGCTGCAGCACCAGCCAGAAGGTAACGAATCATACAGGTCAGGTCAGGACACTGCTTTAGGAAGCCCTGGTAGCGCAATGGGCCTACGAAAGCAACTCCGCCAAAGGTTGCTGCTGCCAGAAGCTTGTCCTGCAAGGCAGACTGTTGGTTCCCTCCAGTTGGCTTTTGGGCTTGAATACCAAAACCAGTAGAAGCGCAAGGAGGCAGGAGGAGCCCTTTCCTTGAACTTGCCCATGGCCAGCTGGGCCTTTCACAGGCGAGAAGCGAGCATCTGAGACGGAAGCTGGGAGATTTTAACTTAAAGGCGCTGCACCCTCCCATGCTCTTCCATGAACATTCCATTGCCCACAAGCTGCAAAGATCTGCAAAGTGTCGGTAGTGGTATAATATGCTATTTAGAGCCGTACAGTGCGAGGCAGCCTATCAAAACTTGTCTGTTTGTCACTATTTGGAGCAAATTAAAGTCTGATCATGGGTTAAGGTTAGCACTGAAAGTCATGCGAGCGGTAAATGGAGTGAGAGCTGCGCGCAGCACTGTTGCAAGAAAGGACTTCAACGCAACACCTGGGGGAAGCCGAGTTGCAATCTGGAGCTGCCAAGGGCGGGAATGGCCGCCGCCGAATCCGACACAATGGGCTTTGAGTTGAAATTCCCGTACTTTAGGCTTCAGTTCAATGTTGTCGTTTATTGCCCTCCTCTCCAGCTTTGAGACTGTAGGTGAGCCTTTGCAGGGCTTGGGTTGGGATCTGCAGATGTTGCACTTGGACCTTTCTTAGGGTGACGTCGCTCATGTTGACATCATTCGCTTAACGCTTGCTTCCACAAGAGCGCATTGACCATAAGCGTCTGAGCAAAAAGCCAGCCGCGTCCAGAGTAGTGGAGTCATAATCACAAATTGTTCCTCGCCTGCTCGCATGAAAATGAACCAACCACTGGAACAGAAATTTCATGATGGCAGCTGGAGCTGGCAAAGTGGCGCGCACCCAGCTGGCTCGAGGAAAAGTCTCCATGCAGTCCATGATTACCTTGGTCTTTCTATTCTCAGAACTCAGCATCAGATGCTGCATTCAATGCAGCTTGCAAAGGTCAAGACTCATCTTGAGACCAAGCTGGCCACAACAAATATGACATGGGCCTCGTGACTGACCCTCTTGGGAAACTCTTGTCCCCATTCGCACATCCTCTTGGGTCCGTGCCCTCAAACCCTCACCCTTCATGAGCCTGTCACGGGCATCGTCCGACCTCTGCAAGACAAGTTCATAATGGAGGTTGATGGTCCAAGGCTGCAACCTGCCCTTGCAAGCTCGCTTTGCTCTTTTAGTCTATTCAACGCCCAGGATGCACTCCACAGGCGATGGTAACAAGTAATCAGAGAAGGCAGCTTACATGAATGAGAGAGGGTGCGAGGTGCTGTCCTTTCAAAAGGGCAAGGCCCCTAATACGAAAGGTAGCAGATCAGAACAGGTGTCGCCACTGTTTCCACAGCTGCATCCGCTAATGCTTTCGAAAAACACTTCAGATGCTGGGAGCAGCGCTCCGTGATCATTCGGCAAACCATGCCGCAGCCCTCCTGGGCATGGTAGAAGAGATGAGAACCAAAGAGGCTACCTTCCACAGCCTCGCGTCCGCGCAAGCTCTGGTACACATTATGAACCTTGAGAAAAGAAACGATTCAAACAATAAGCCATAATTGAGCTGTAACAGCAATTCGCAACCGTCAACCGCATTAGACTTTCACTGCGTCATCTCAGTGGCAGCATCTTTCCAGGAATGACAGATTAGCCCCATGCCTGGACCACCCACTCAGCCTGCAGAAGGAGGGAGAGCACAAGGCCATTTATCCAAACAACTGCTTCAGTAAGGCCATGTCCTGCCGGGAAGAACCACTGTGGTTTTTAAGGGTACATGGCTGTGCAGCACCTGGCCTTTTTCTACGGCTACGAGAATCAGCAGGCTGGCAGGGCGTGTTTAGGAAAGCTGTTTTGTGTCACTCCGCTTCAGATATCCTTCGCGTAGTGGCGCACACAGGCTACAACTTTGCTCAATGTGCGGACTGTCCCAAAATTACAATTGCAAGCACCAATGGGCGGAGAGACCTGGGCATTCATCTTCATCGAATTCAGAACATCCTTCAGCGGCTTCATGCTCTACATCGCATGCCTAACAGCATGTTGTCAAAACAGGCCCTGAGCGTAACATAGAACTGCACCCTTCTGATTTGTCACGCGAGCCAAACATAAGGGCAACACTAATTGGGTACGTTGCTAAGTGTTCGTGCAAAAGGCCTCATATTGGAATGATCAAAGGCACCCACGGCCGATACCATGTGCATGGCTACTTACAATTGATTGTCCTTGAAGCTTAGTGCACGAAGCAAATCCTGAAGGGAGGCTGGCACCCTCCGGAGTGGGCGCCTTCCCATTCGGGGTTGAATTCTACTCTGTATAGTTTGTTGAAGAAGAGTATCATTGCACAGCTGGTTGGTGCTCCTTCCATCTGATGTCACAGAGACTTGTGCAGTGCGCACCAAAGCCAGACATTAAAGAGGCCATGTCCTCCAAGGCAGTGGTGCTGAGGAGGGTGTCCGCACCGTCTGGCATTTCTGCCTGTTTCATGTCAGTGAATAACATGCTGCCCAATGCGGCGCAAGCTTTCCACATCTTTCTGCCAAGGATGCAGTTTTCTTGTTGCTTCCTTCCCCCAAGCTTAAACCTGAACGTCCTGTCCTGCGGCTCAAAACTCACCCTTTTTCAAGAGTCTGCGCCCCGCGTCTCGAACAAGACAGTTGTTCAGTGGGGTCCCGGCGATATTGCGCAAGGCTTCGCACGCTTCTGCTTGAAGCCTGTCCACAGATTGCATTTCGGCGCTCACATGGTTCCTGGTGGGGCTTGTTAAAGGTGAATGAAGTGGTGCCAGGCCTGTACGCTGGGGTGGGCTCTGCCTGTGGGACTCAGGCTGGATGGCTGATCAAGGCAGTCCAAGTCTACGTAGGTCTGCAAACGCGAGGTTGGAATACCACAAAGAAGTGCAGCTTGTCAAGCTGCCTTCACCGCACCGGTTTCGATGTGTTTTTGTCACGAGATATAGATCTTGCAGCCACACAGGCTTCAGGGCCGCAATCCCAGAATCCACCAATTCTTGTTGAACAACTTAAGCACCTGAAAAACGCAACAGTAACTTGCAGCAAGCCGAGCCTGGTGTTCTTTGGATATTTTTTCATCGCGTCGAGGATGCACTGCAGCACATACTGTAGCTGGTGCTCTCTTTTCCCGCTCTGGACGCTCAGTAAATGCAGGAGACGAATATAATAATGAGCGACGGCAAATCGAACCAGCTGTTGATCGAGACAAATCTTTGCACCCAAAGTACCCAGATGAAGCTAGCCAGCATGGAATGCCCACAAAGCAAGCTTGCATGCAAACACAACTGGCAAGCTCGAATCAATTGGGCCGCCGGACTTTCAAACCTCCCGCTTTGAGCACCTTTGCTTTGCCGTCGTGGGATGTGCGCACTTGGCTTGTGGCGTCCAGGCTAGCAAACAGCCCTTTCAGATTCCAAGTGAGTTATTATGAATGCCACACCATGCATGCAACATCAGAAGGCTTCTCTACAGGAATGTACAAAACCCAAACCTTATCGGCTTTTCTTTTAACTCCTTCTCGTTTTACAGGTGAAACGCCATCTCCAGACACTCTTGACATAACGTAGAGAAGCCGGGTTATTGCACAACCCTACATGGCGAGCACTGATTGCAGTCTATCCTAGCTTGTGCTCCGTTACAGGCCAAGATCATGCTCCCGCTGACGTAGTCTGATTTCAATGTAGCAAGAGGCAATGTTCGGATAGCGCGTGGCGCTGAAGGACATGGCGAAGCAGAAGCAGTACTGGACCTCAACACAAGCAAGACTTGGCTGTGGGTGCGGCTTCTTTCCTTATGCGCCTGTTTCCTGAGCAGAAAGCTCTGCAAGACAAAGCACTATAGTATGCTGTAGCCAGAGCAGTGTAGTCCAGTCCTTGTGACTTCCAGCCGCTTGACTTAATAATGCACCCTAACTGCCACAGTATTCACAGCCCGGTGGGAAATGAAAGTAACACGTTTGACGCAAGTATTGGCGAGGTGGACTGCAATTGAAGAATGGCATGGTCACAAACTATCCGATTAGTTTGCTGCCTCCTCATCGGCGAGGAATTGCGCTGCCGCCCTCACAGCATTGGTGTAGGCCCTGAGCATTGGCAATACATGACTCATGGGCCAAAATAAGACTGACTGACGCCGGTGCTACTGTACGAGTTGCAAATGCCAATCTCTCATTCACAGCTGAGCTGGACCTGACTCAAAACTCCTGTAAACAGAATTCAATACATGATGTTTGTGGCTTTGAATAGCTTTGCCTTACAGCTGCATCCCTGTGGCACAGCTGTCGCGCCCTGGCTGGTTCCAATATGGCTAACAAAGCCCCGGGCACAACTTCCCGCGCATAGAGAGGATCTTCCAACATCTGTCGGGGGATTTTGTCAAATCACTTCTAAGGCAGACCCTGGCGTTTAGGCTAAGTGCAAAGCATGCTGTTGAGGAACTGATGCTACGATGCGGGCTTGGAAGGGTAGCATTTGCTTGTGTGACTGTGGCTGGCAGGCCCTTTTGTCTCATTAATTGCTAGGCAGGCAAGCTTCTGGCCTAATCTATGCTGAAAAGCAACAATGAAGGATGCTGACATCCCAGCGCATGGAATGGGTCCTTGAGGTTCCAGTATGCAACCATTCAGAGAATCGCAATAGCTTCGTGGAAACAGTCACAGAATCGGAATATTACATCACGAACCTTAGTCCTGTGGTTCCTCAAGCAGTGGCGACAGTCAACAATCACAACTAAAGCTGCTTCCAAAGCTTACCTTCAAGAGCACATACATGTGCATTGATCTTGTGCTGATCGCCCTTGACTCAGGGGCTCCAGCCTTCATGGTTTCCAGGGCCTCCTCCTGCGCAGGTGGCCAATGAACTACCTCTGCCCCTAGCCTTCACACGGATGACTCCAAGTCCCTCTCGAATGTTGAAATTTTGGTCCGGGCCCGATGGGTGAGAACTCAAGGCCCAATTGTCCTGCTAATGTTGGTTGCAGAAAAACTAGCCTCAAAAACCCATCCCCAAGAACGAGATAAGCAATCCAAGCGATTTAGGCAGATCAGTACGAATGCATCCCGTAACGCCGTAACAGAACAGTTTCAGGAGTAGGGCGCGTGGTCTGTTACCAGGTCACTGTAGTCGATGCCTTGTATGTTCTGAAATTACTATCTGGAGGGCGTGGGAATCATCAGTGGAATGTAACGCCTCCCTCGCTCTACCTCCCACGGCCTCGAAACGATCATGCCGCACACGCGCAACGCCACAGACATGTTGCTGCAGTATGCAGTATTCCAATGACAGGCCCAGAACTGCTTAACACTACCAGGCAACTACAGCTTTCAATACAAGGCCTCTGTTGAATATGACTGCTCCCAAGCTAGTCGCAAAGATCTCGGTGATAGAAGAGCGATGCTTGCCGCACCAATTGAATAGCTGGACAGGCCAGAGTTAGCAACCCGCATTTTTGATACAGCACGCAAGCTTCCAAGGCTTTATGGCCAATGCGTCTACTCTAGTACTGCTCCTCCTGCTGGTCTTCCTGCTTCTTGCACTATAGGGCAACTGTTCCTACGACGTGTTTGAATGCCCTCATTCCAACTTCAGCAAGCAGACTCAAGCGGATTCGGCATGGAGAAGCTTCGTCAGCTAGGAGTAGTTTTGGCAGCCCTGACATCTACTCTAACATCGAACCCTCAGTGCAGGTGAGATGTACACACCCCAGCAACCCTGGAAGTTGCGGAAGCAAAGGTCAACAAAAAACTGTGACATTGCCAGCTATGTCAGAGCGAGTCAGTACGAACAGCTAGCTCCATGCATCCTGACCCCGCTTCTGCTTCGATACTTTCTGCACGCGATCGGCAAAGGTAGCATTAGGCAGCTGCAGTCTCACGATAAGCTGTGTGGAGTAGGTCAGCACGCCCCAAGTGCACTAACGTTGCTTCAATTCCAGCCCTCGGGCAGCCTTGGTGACCTTGAAGCCATAGGAAGCCTTGCAACGCACTGAAATTTACGACTGCAGGTAGGACCAGAAACAGTAGCGGGAACCGGCAGAAGCTCCTGTTTCATCCTGTTCTATTCATCTCAAAGCTGATGGACCCGATAACATCTAGACATGCTGTGCCTGAAGTTAGAGAGCTGTCGTCAAGAAAGATGCCCCTGGCTAGGGATAATTCGTCAGACCCTCCAAAAGGGCAGCAACAGCTCGAACAGTATCAATTATCCCTTCGATTCTACAAGGACACGAGGAGAACGTCCGGAATCTGAGGTTGAAAGGACAACAAAAGTTCGTCCCTACCAGCGAACGGAGGTGCAAACGCTAATTATCAGGTCTGGAGAGCATGATGTTTGAGGAAATGCCAATCCCAAAGACCACGAGGAAAAGCTTCCAAATACACGTCAGCATTGCAGCAAAATTACCGTTTTAAACTTTGATATTTGCTGGCCTGCGTGGTTGGATCCTCGTCGGCTGCCATGCTTCTACATTCTTATCTGCTCTTTGGCTCTTTTCACCATAGCCAGAATGCGAGCTCAGAATTAGGTGGAGGATGACGGCTTGGGTTGGAGCCTTCAACCTTGCAAACAATACGAATTGCAATGCTGCAGCGCCGGTCTGTGGCTCATGGCTTTGGGTTTTGGATAGAAACAGTGGAAGATTCAGTGGTCAAGCTCTACAGGTTAAGCTTCTGCTTGAGCAAAGGCAAAATGTGTGAGTTGGGACGTGGCGGTCAGGGCAGACTGAACTGCTCATGCCAAAAATGCCTGTGAAACTGTACAGCCTTTCCAAATTAAATCAGTAACTCTGCTACCAGGTTTATCACAATAGCACAATCTCGACATGCAAATGCTGGAAGAAAACAATTTTGAGTTGAGAGCCTTGTTGCTTTGAAGAACTTGAGCTCAAGGATGTGTTCAACACTGCTTGGGGTTGAGGGCTAGTGTGGCGGCGAGCTCACGTGCAGGGATTAGATCGAAACATTCAGCTCCTGAAATGACCGTTGCAAGTTGCTCCCTGCGGCCCCCTTCGTGTGAGCGCTGTTTTTGTCCACACGCCAATGCACTCCAGACCGAAGGTCATATCAACATCTGTGAAGGTATACAAGCGTTTAAACATGGCCAGCTGGGATGGGTAGCTTGAGGTGTTGACTCGGCTGATGACAGATTCTCGTCCGGCCGAAACGACTTGCTGAACCATGGCTACGCAACTTCATCCTGCATGCTTCTTTTCTTGAAATTCTTGGAAGTAGTGCTGGATCAATTTTCCTTACCCGCTGGTGCACCCGCAGCCTGTGCATCTGTAAAATCTCTAGTCAGGGTGTCTCCGGCCTGGCTTTGCACTTGGAACGTCGAACATCAAAGCTTCCTCAAATGAACATGACAGGACAAGTGCCACATCTGTGTGTACACCCTTCAAGGCGGCAGCAACACGGCGTGTCGGAGTGAAAGTTCCACAAAGCTAAAGGGATGTGATGTCCTCGAACATGCGCAGCCATGCGGCTTCTGCTTGTGTTCATGCACTGCATGGCGCAAACTAATCTGTCTTCAGGGCTCGCTGCGAGCCCTGGCCTGGAGCCTCCCAGCTTCGGCAGGCTCATGCCAGATTCGTGGGCAATTGTGGGCCGCACAAATGCTGCTTGACCGTGAGAAGCCGTGCCAGCACCTGTGATGTGGTACTGCAAGCCGGCATCGTCAGCGCTTCTCCGGCTGCCTGAGGCCTGTGACCGCACATTGTGTTGGCTGTGCGATTTGGAGATCCTCCACGGGATCGCGGAAGCGGCTTGCTCTACATGCTCTAAAAACAGGAACACGAACAGCAAAAGCAGAACCAAGGAATGAGGAGGCCGTCGCAGTCGTCAGGCGCCGACTGGCCTGAGGCAAGTTGCCAGCACTGCTGCCACGACGCTTCCCACCATGCATGGCAGGAGAAGATCCGAATCGAAACTTTGGGGCCGGGCATGAGAGCTGTTGGCCAGGGAGGTATCATGAAAAGAAAAGCCTGAAACCGAAAAGCGGCCTGTGCTGCTCAGCGAAGCGTGGCCCGCTCCTAAAAGGTAAGTCGTCCTAACATGTCGCGGAGTTGCTGCTGGATGCCAGTGCCAGCGGGCTCAGCAACTTCAACCCTATGCTCTACAAATCTTGCTTCCTGCAATCGCGCCATGTTGCAGCAGACCATCCCAAACGCACCGCTGAGTGCCGAAGAGATGAGCATGCTTTTCGGGCCTGTGGCTTTGACTTCAGTTTGAGTGCTGCAGGAGACAAACCTCCAGCATTTGGAGGTACTACCTGAAGCAGCTGAGGGTTCTGCATTTGTAAATTTGGCGCGAGGGCACATAAGTTTGGAAAGTTTGTGAACATCTGCCGCAAGTTGTCTCTTCCGACCATCAATGCCATATTGGATCAGGGCAGATACCTTAGTCTCTGCAAGCCCTGCCTCCTGCACATGTGGAACGTCGCAGAAGACCGCCCACTCGAGGAGCACGCTTTTAGGGCTCGTCGCTTTGATGTAGTGTTTAGTGGTCCGTCAGACGAGATGCTAGCTGAAGCAGCTGAGGCTTCTGCATTTGGAAATCCTGCAGAAGGGGACATGAGGCTGGACACTTTGTAGACCAGTGGACATCCGACGCAATTTGCCCGTTCCTGGCAATCTATGCCATATTGCATCAGGCAGATACCTTGGTCTCTGCAAACCATGATTCCTGCACAGGTGCCACATAACGGAAGACCGCCGCACGCGCACCCTTGGGTGGCACAGCGATGAGCGCTCTCTGGGCTTGTAGGGTTTACAGGGGTTTAAGGACAAACAACGATTTTCAACACTCGCATCATCACTCTTGCACAGTAACTTCCTGGAGTCTCGGCCTTGAGCAGTTAAGGCAAGCAACATCAAGCAACACAGCACGGCCAAGAACAGTGTAGGCTTTCAGGGTTGCTCCTGAACAGAAACCATCTGTAAGGGAATGGCTGCGGCACTTCCTAGCTAAGTCAAACGCAGGAGGGCGCAGTATGGTTCCCTGCCTCTGACGTCCAAATTACCTGGATGATGCGCTGATGTGTATCTGATGCTAGCCTGTAATTCTGCGCATGCACCCGTCTCTCTGCGCGTGTCTTTGCTCACCGTGCAGATGCTGACCGCTTCCACCCCATGGTCTCGCATCGTCGAGGGACATGTCGTCATGACGCACCCCGAAACTCTGCATGGTGTTGTTGTCAACAATTATTAGCAAGGGGCTCGATTGCTCCCCTTACTCCCTTGAATTTTGTTGTAAAATTGAAGCTACTCATTTCGCTCAAGAGTTCGAGACACCAACGTGTTTGAAAGCAGCGGGTGTGGCGGCAGTATGGTGAGACCATTGTGCCTTGCATTTTTACTTCCAGTTGC